ACAATTTTTTGTGATAGTCAAAGTGCTATTCAATTAGCGAAGAACCAAGTTTATCATGCAAGGACGAAGCACATTGATGTTCGGTATCATTTCATGCGAGAAATCATAGAAGAAGGTGGAGTCATAGTGAAGAAAATTCATATTATAGAGAATCCTGCTGATATGCTGACAAAAGTGGTGACTGCGGTCAAGTTTCAACATTGTTTGGATTTGATCAACATTGTTGAACACTGAATATTGAAGATGAAGACACAACCAAAATTTGTTACCGGGAGAAAATTGAAGATGTGGAATTTTGCCAAGGTGGAAATTTGTTGAAAATGGCAAACTCCCACATCAGTGGGAGACTTAATTTGGGAAGAATTTCTCCCTATAAAAGGAGGCCTAATGTTTAGGATTTAGACACACCTCTCATTTGTCTTCTTATCTTCTTAAGGCATTTGTATCTTCTCTCTTTAGTATTATTTCACTTGTATTTTTGGAGTGGAATAAAATATTGGTTGTGTCCGAGGAAGTAGGCAAAATTGGCCGAACCTCGTAAATTTTGGTGTTCCTTTTATTGTTGTTTTATTGTCTTATTTATTATTTGGTGGCTGCTATAATTTTTGGTATAGTAGTTGTGACTCATTCACACTATATAAATTTGGCTTCCGCAACATTCCTAAACCTACATGTGATGTTCCTGCTAGAAAAGTCTTAACGGGGATTTTCAATGCTGTGAATCCAGTAGTAGCAACGTATGAGAAGCTGGCTCTTAATAATACTGCAACTGGTGTTTCAACAAAAGCATCAGAACATGTAGGTAGAGAAGTGGTGGAGTGTGCAACTGATACAGGCTCAAAGGCTGCTAATGTTCAAGCTGATGTTAATGCACAACGTGGTAATGTAATGGAAGCTGCAACATGGGCAATGACTATCAATACCACTAGGAAGTTGGCAACACCAGTGGTCACTCGCGATGATGAAGCCCATACTTCTGGAGGTAAAGAGATTGGGAATAAGGGAGTGTCCTTGGAAGTTAAGGCTGTGGAAAAATGTTGATAGTACAAACAAAAAAGATGAAAGTTGGAACGTGGTTTCTGCTAGAAAATCACCTACTAAAAAGGTGGTATCGCCCAGGCAAAAATCTGCAGGTGTTCGACAAAATGCTTCTAACATTGTGACCAGCTCAAATGTTTTTGAAGCACTGGAAGCTGTGGAGGATGATCAACTAGTTTCAACAGTCCTAAAAGATGACATCATGAACTAGCAAATTGTTCCATGCACCAGCAATCAAAAAGGAGCCCAAGGCAGTGAGATTTTGGCTAAGGAAATGGGTGTTCGACGAAATGCCTCAAAGAAAAATCTGGTGGAGGAGCAAACAGATAATCAAGCACATAGTTCCAATACTCTGACATTGCATTTTTCCAGCCCTCATGTTGAAAAATTATCAAAGATGCCCAGGCTGCAATGATGATGAATACCACCATGGTTAAACAAGCAATAGTAACTTTGAACATATCCGTATTTGAAGTTCCTTCACAATCAATGGACACGTTAGGTGAATATAGAGATGAGTCTGGGAAGGTGATGTTGTCCGCTAATGAAATTGTTTAAGAAAATTTTAGACATATGATTAGTAAATCTAGATTGCGGGCTGATCAAGAGGAGGAAGGTGAAGAAGAAGACTGGGGAGATGAAATTGCTGGGGATTCGACTGATGGTGCTGACCAAGAGAGTGAAGGTGAAGATATGCTGTCAATTGGCTCACCAACACTTGCCAAGAAATGATGGTGCCTCAGATTCATGCCTCAAAAAGTAAGCTTAATTCCAATGCTCCTGCTTTTGTTCCCAGTAGTAACGCCTATTATGGCTGGACAACAATAGCTGATTGCAAACACTCCAGGCGATAATACGATGCAAATTGCTGTAACACCTAACACTGGGTAGCAACAGCTTCTTACAAACACTCCAGCTACTACCTTTGTTGATGTTCAAAATGCAGTAGCTCCATCAAATACTGGGCAGCAGCAACATCGTGAAGGTAATCCAGCTATCTCGTTGGAGGACAGATTGCTCCTGGACGCGTTGGTAAGCTCTAAGCCTATGAATCATTCTCAAGCTTTGAGCACTGGACAGGGTGTTAAGACCAGGAACAATATGCAACGTATGGAAAAACATCAGGGCAAGGCAGTTATGGCAAAGGTACAAGAAGTAAATGATTTGATGACACAAGACCTCGTCCAAAATTTGTCACATCTAGTGCAGGTGGGAAAGGACATTTATGAAGAAGGAGATGAAGATGAAATAATGCAACAATGCAGGGCAGAGGCAGCACAAAGAGGTGATCTATCACCTATGTATAGTGGACAAAGCAAGAAGACTCATACAAGGAAGAAGAGTTGGGACGAAAAGGTGAATGAGGAAGTAAATGTTAGGCGACTCCCAATGAGAATTGCCAAACAAGAATAGGCTGACCAAACTACATCCACGAGATCCAATCATTCAAAAAAGAAGTCATGAATTTTGAAGATATTTTGAAGAGGTTTGAGGAAGATGACAAAGAACTACAAATTGAAGAAATTACAAGCTTGGGCAAGAAGGGACAATGCTTTAATTCATACTACATTTTATTTTATCACTTTATTAGTATAGTCATTTGTAATATCATCACAGAGTATGTTATAGACTCTGTGATGATCATAGAATATTTAGTGCTCTCTAGTTCTTACTTTTTACATGCATGCTAGTAGGTGAGGCTTTTTTATGCCTCAATAGGATTAGTAAGGTAAGGTTTAGCCCAGTATATGATTGCTAATGTCCTATGCCTTTGGGAAGATATCCAAACGACTATGAAATTATATGCCCTCGTGAGACTTTGTCGGCAGCTACACCATGATCTTCTGCATGAGGCTGTCATCATATGGCAATGTGAGGCGCAGAGGAGTGGTGCTATTGTCCCCTTTTTTGTACTCTTCCTATGTGGATTTTTTTTTATTATTAATAAAACTAGCCCTAGACACCTCGCCTAGTGGATTTGCTATATATATATATATATATAAAACATGAAAAGCCTATGGGTATAGGAAAAATTAAGCAGCAAATAGAATTGATAGGAGTCAAATAATTACAAAGAAAAAAACCTGAAACATACAAGATAGAGAGAAAAAAGTCAATCAGCACTTCCTCCTATCCTCTTCAATCCAAATCCAACAAAACAGAAAAATAAAATTAATGAAGAATTAAGTCATCACACGCACCCAATTTTCTGCACACTATTTGGTTGAGATTGTCGAAAATTTTGAAAATCATTGTCAAGAACAAATTCAGAAAAAGTCTTCTACTTAATAATTTGTCTAGCAAAGGGGCATCTCAGTCTCACCAAACATATTAATCTGAGTAGACTTGAAAGGAAACACAGGAAATTCGCCAAAGTTTTGAATGAATCCCTCATCCATTCCATACCTACTCCAAAATCCATTCGACAAATTCTCAGCTCTATAATTTTTCTCTTCAGTACTTTCTTCTTCCATTTTCCTTTGAGGATTTATCAACTCTTTTCTTTTCTTGTTGCTTCCTTTACCTTCTGCTGCATGCTTTCCCGTCAGCCTTTGTACAAGCTCGCGAAAATTTTCAACGTCCGTTTTAATAATCTGTGGAGCAATTATATGAATTATTCGTATTTTTGGCTTCATCTTGGAAATTGAGTGTGAATCTTTATGCATGGTGAGCTTAGAACACCTTGGAATTTTATCACTTGTAAATATTGGCTTCATTGTCTCTGTTTCAATCAGCAAATCTAGGAATAGGAAAGATGGAGAATGTTGGTAATGTGGGATATATATATATATATATGTTGAAAGGGAGTTTAAATAATAAAGGGTTCGAAGTTAGAAAGATAAAGATCTAAGTTTTGCCTTTTGGAAGCAAGAATTGGATGGGATTCTTTGTCTTTAGTGGCTAATAGATTGTACCAAGTATCGGAACTAAAATAATCCATGTTTCTTGTTAAGTCCAAATTATTGATTTTTTTTAGCTTTTTTAATTTAATAACCAAGCATTTTCTTTCAATTCCTTTGCCTCCAAGAAAAATAATATATTCATATCCATAGTCCATAGATAGCTGTCCTAACAAGTTATAGTTAGCTAGCTGCGTTTTTATCAAGTTTCTTGGATGTTTACTTGTCATATTAATTTTATCTTAAGTCAACTTTATAACATGATGTACAATAATTTTCATCTGTATCTGAATTATATCTTTATTATATAATGATCGGCTGAATGCTACATCTTATCTTTTTATTATTTTTAACTAGAGCACCGCCAAGAGAGTGACTGATTTTGCTCTACAAGAGTCAACTTTAAGATGGCACGAGGGAGGATTTTGGCCTCTTTTTCTCAAGTTCATCTTATTGTTACCATTTTCTTCAATATTTAAGGTGGAAAGTCTTTTGGCTGATGTGAAAAGATTAGGCAGTGTTTCCCAGATTGACCATTGTTAGGTTAAAGGATTATATTGCGAAACTCTTTAATTAGTACCACAAACGCCTTCTCCTTCCTTGATTCAGGCAAATAATAGAATGATGAAAATCTCTTAATACTTTCCAAGCCGATTCTAGGATATGTTTTGCTTCATCACTAAAACCAAGAAAGCATTTGTCAACAATATTTTTTGTTACAATATATTATATACTGTTGCCAATAATAGTTTTGGCAACAACAACAAAGTTGCCTCACGTCGTTGAATAACCTCGGATGAAAAATATATAGGCAACAACAAATAAGCAAGAGCTGCTTACTATTAGGAAAAATAGGGGCAATTATTACAATATGTTAGAAATTAATCACTGTTAAAAAAATAAGACTTACATTATTTGAAAGTGTGACTTTGATCAAAAGGTCACATTATTAGGGCAATGCTTACCAATGGTGGCCTAAATATGCTTCTTTTTCTAAGACAACGCTTTTCATGAGTTAAAGAGTTTAAAAAAAAAAAAATATTTGCACATCTTGGAGGCGAGAATAAGACATCTCATTTCCCTCTGCCACAAATGAATTTACATGTATAGCCGCAAAGAAATAAAATAATCTTCTTTATAATAACAACAATAATAATTGTTAGGATCGAAATTGTAACAATCCGACCGGTCATTTTGAGTTCTAGTGCGTCATTTGTCAGTTTGAGGTCTTGAGTAGTTTCACTTTATGTATTATGACTTGCACGTGCGGTTGGTTTCGGTTTTAGGAAGTTCGGAGTTGATTTAGAAGGACAATTCTCAATTCAGAAGATTTAAGTTGAACTAGTTGACCAATGTTTGACTTTTGAGTAAACGACCTCGAAATCGGGATTTAAAGGTTCCAAAGGTTCGTATGATGATTTTGGACTTGGGCGTATGTTCGGGTTGAGTATCGAATGGTCCGAGAGCGTTTCGGTACTTATTGCGAAAAGTTGGCATTTTGAAGATTTTAGAATTTTTAAGTTTGATGTGAAGTGGGCTTTGGTGTTATCGATGTCCGTTTGGGATTCTGATCCTTGGAATAGGTTCACATTGCGATTTGTGACTTGTACGTAAAATTTGGCGTCATTCCGGAATGTTTAAGTATGATTCGGACGCGTTTGTCGAAGTTTAAATGATTGAAAGTTGAAAGAAGGATTTCGATCGTCGATTCATGGTTTTGATATTATTCGTGGCATCTGGGCCTTTGGATAAGTTTGGATAAGGCATTAGTACTGGTTGGTATGATTGGACGGGGCCTCGGGATGGGTTCGGACAAATTCTCCTTGTTTTATAACTACTAGTTTCTGGTGTATTTGGTGTTGCATCACGATCGCGGAAGCAGGGTCGCAATCGCGAAATGCTAAATGGATTGGTAGAGACTTTGTTCTTCGCAATCGCGAAGATGGTGTCACGTTCGCGGAGCTTAATCAGGTTATGCTTCGTGTTCACGTGGTGATGATCGCAAACGCGCTGAGTTAGATGGGCTGGCCTGGGTCTAGAAGGTTGTTCATTGCGATCGTTTGGTTATGAACGTGAACTCGCAGGGGACTTTCTGAGGTTGGGGTTTATTGCCTTCGCATTCACAGAGATTGGCTCGTGTTCGTGTAGGCTTGTCTGGTTAAGCTTCGCGATAGCGAGGTGATTATCGCGTTCGCATAAGAGGATTTCTAGGCGAGATCTGTGTGGCCTTCACGATTGCGAGATCTTTTACACGATCACGTAGAAGAGTGGCCTGGCAGAAGTTAGCAAAATCAGGATTTGCTCATTTCATCTCATTTTTCTCTCTTGGAGCCGATTTTGGGGCTATTTTGGAGAGCTATTTCATCCAACTTTTGGGAGTAAGTATTTCTAAACCATTTTTGATTATATTTCATGAACACGTATGGATTTTTAACATAAAAATTGGTAGAAATTATGGGATTTTAAAGAAAAATCTGGAATCGGTATTTTTAGATTTTGACAATGAAATTGGACATGTAATTAAGAATAAATTATATATTTGAGTTCGTGGTGATATGGATAATGTTTATCTTCAGAACTTTTTGGAATACCCAGGGGTTGACTTTTCAAGCGGAGTTGAGAATTATTATGAGTATAGGAGTATATTTTTATTGGTCTGCACGTTGTTTGACTAGTTTCGGATTGATAGGCATCGGTTTGAGGTGTTAGAGGAGCGTTGGAGCCAGTTATGGAACTTCAGAGAGAGGTAAATCTCCTGTATAACCTTGTGAGAGGGAAATTACCCCATAGCTATTATATTTGTAATGTGCTGCTTGTTATGTGAGCTACACACGTATGAGGTGATGAGTGTCTGTGTGTATGCTAGAATTCATGATTATGTCCGGGTAGACTTAGACTCACGTCATGCTTTAATTGTACTATTTGAGTTATTATTGCATATTTAAATGCTTTAAGTCACATTATGACATGAGACTAGACTCGCGTAGAGTAATGGACTTGCTATTTTAGATACTTGTCGAGGTACTTGATTAGCCGTAGAAATTGTACTTCCCTTAAGGATTTCTCCCGCGTTGTGAGTATTCATCGGAAAGTTTTCTTGAATTTTATAACTCAAACGTATATTCCTGAGTGGGGTTAAAGACCCGTAAAAGCTTCATATTCTAATGGGATCGGCCTGAACGCCTTAGCAGTACTCTTACGGGATCGGGTCGTTCGCCTCGGCAGTATGATGTATATATTCTTACGGGATCGGGTCGTTTGCCTCGGCAGTATCATGTATCACACTCTTATAGGATCGGGTCATTTGCCTCAGCAGTTTCATGAAGTACTCTTACCAGATCGGGCCACTCGCCTCGGCAGAATCGTGTGTAATTTGATAAGAAATCAGTGTATCTATGAGCTTTCCTGACTTGAGATGTGACATGCATCTGGTATTGTCCATTATGCATTCCAATTGAGGTAGTATCTGATACTTAAGGACTTTGTGTTTATTTTTCAGTTGAGAAACGTATTATGTACTTATATCTATTTTTAGTGTTTACTTACCGTGTTTCATATATGTTTACTTTTACTATATATAATTTATTGGACCGCTAGTAAGTGTCAATGTCGACCCCTCATTATTACTTCTCCGGGGTTAAGCTAGATCCGTACTAGGTACGCATTGATTTACGTACTCATGCTACACTTCTGCATTGATTGTGTAGGTATTTTCCAGTAATCATTCGAGCGCGTAGGCGCATCTGCTGAGGGGACTTTAGGGTGAGTTGTATTTCATGTTACGATTCGTAGCACACAGAGTCTCCATCATAATTATTTGCTTTATTTTGTCTATCTTATATTCCAGACATATATTGTATTATTATTGTACTTCCTAGTAGATGCTCATGCACTTGTGATACTGGGTTTTGGGATGTTTTAGAAATTGTTTGTGATTTTGCTTAATATTATTATTTTATATCTTACTAAAATTGTATGTGTTCATGAATTTAATGCATTAATTTCTTTATCTAATAAAAATCATGATTTCAAAAGTAACAAAATGAATAATTAAATGGATAGTTCACTATTGGCTTGTCTAACGGCGAGGTTGGGTGCCATCACGGCCTGTACTGGAAATTGTATCGTGACAAAAATAATCAGATGTCATGCAGAAGCTAACAAAGCATACTTTCAATGACGATAAATCAAACATCAAAAGAGAAATATACCAAAAGAGACACAAACATTTAACGTAGTTCGGCCAATTGACCTACATTCACAGACGGAGATGAACAATACACTATATAAAAGAGAGTACAAAATAATGAGAAAACAACTTCATAAAGAGGCACACACAAGTGACATGCTAACACTTGTCTCAAAAATCCTCCCCTCTCCTAAACAAGACTCTCAAACCCCTTATGACTACATTGTGGATATTGATGAATGAGAATGAAGGATCCTTAATTTATAGAAGTCAAAAGCTTTCCTCCAAGAAAAAAGACTAGCCAAATATAGAAGAATTTTATTTTTCTTTTCGTAAAAGGCAAAATCAATTATAATAAATATGTTGCCCTTTATTCAAGAAATCAAAAAATCAAATATCATAAGAAAATCAGGGCAACACTTATCAAATCCCCCCTTTTGGCCTGAACTTTCAGACGAAATAAACTTGATCTACCTTCTCCACATAATTTTTAACAATCTACATCTCTAAGTCTCCACCACAAAGTTTGTTTCGAGGTGAGTAGTACTCCGGTCAAATTTCTCAGACAAAATCATGATTACTGTCAAATAGGCTTCGGCTAAAACTAAACTCGCTTTGATGAACCTGT